TTATCGTGATAATGATTTGTTTGTTGTGACACCCTTACTACCCCAACACATATACTATAACTTTACAAATAAATGTTTTAAAAAAAAAGTAAAAGGGTTCACATGAGAAACTTCAAAAATCATTCTTCAATAACCACAATAATAAAGATTTAGAAAATGAAACACAAGAGTTTACAAATTGTTTTCAAAATGATATTTACAATTCCAAATCCATATAAAAATTCTGTTCTAAGAGTCCTCTGCCCCGATGTCACAATATCAGAGCATACTCCTAATTTAACTGTTGGCATTCTAGATGCCACTCGCAGCCGGATCTTCCTCACCTAAAACATCCACAAAATTGTACGGTGAGAAAAGAAAACATCTATATGTAAAGTACATACAAACACACAACATATCATCTCATTATAACTCGATACTTAACGAAATATTCATAAACATTTCAATGTATCATAACTTTATCAATTGTGCAACATCATCACGTCACAATTCGCAAATTACACTAAGGTACATTTGACTCTACTTGCTCTATCTCTGATTTTGTTACTTCATGGGCTGAATATAACTTTTCTTCATTCTTGCACCATTTTGGGCCAAACAACCAACCTCTTAAGGTTTGGTGTTGAGACCTATATATATAGATATTATAAATATAAATCACTTATCTAGGTATTTTATATTATTATCTTTTTGAGTCTTTTAAATATCTAAATCAGTGAAACTTCCATTTATTTCAACTAGCGAGGCAGAGCTTATTAGAAAAAATATTAGAAATTGTATTTTGCTAACGCTTTTCTGAAATTAAAAAAAATAGAAAAATAAATAAAGTTTACATTAGTTTTTCTAAAACTTAGTTCTTTTTAAGAATAATACATAAGTGCTCTTCAATTGTGGTTTCAATATTGTTATGTTATTCTCTTTTACAATTTACTGTTTACATTTTTTTTTTCTGTTTTTTTCGTTTGTTGTTTCTGGGATCAATGTTCTCTAAATTAAGAGAGGTTGAAAAGAGTGGCTTACTAAAATTGGAAATATGAACGTTGATAATCACACTCTGTTTATCATATAGCACCACCTTTAACACTTCGAACACGTCAAAAGGAAAGGGATCAAATCCAAAAATTATATAAATATAAGTGTGACACCCTCTACCCCAGTATTAATACACATTAAACATAAACAATAATTTTTTTTTTAGTAAATAAAATCTTTCATAGTTTAATTACATCTTTCAGGTATAAAACAATTGTCTCAAATATAAGGTAGAAGATTCACATTCGTAACTCATAAATCATAAAAAGTCAACATATAAGTATCAAAACTCAAGAAATCATAAAAAAATAATAAAGGAAATATAGATTAATTCCAGCAAAGGTGGCAGTGCCTCCTAGTTAGGAATTAATTTATAACCTCCAAAATCATGTAATAAAAATAATATGACAAAGATGCACATCTTGGTCTTTTATCAAGAACGTTCAAAATTACAAAAGAAAAGGAAACTAAAGCTTTTAAAACAATAACATCCTAAACTAAGCCTAGCTATGCCCGATGTTACATCCTATCAAAGCATGCCCAACTGAAGCCTTAAGCCTCATCACCAACATCCTTATGATGATGATTACCTACAACATAATTTAAACATATACAAGAACAACAAGGGAATGAGAAACATCTCACTCAGTTTCAGGTGCAGAAATAAAGGTTAGATAACACACACAACAATCATAAGTCATAAACACTAATCACATATAAACAATACCCATACATGATCAGTATCACATGTACACTCATTTATCATGCTATGATGTCATGGACTCGACTCATAAATGCATGCATGTGGCGCCATATGAAAGTTTCACATTTCATCACTGGTGACCCTAAGGTACACCTGGTTACATCACTAGTGACCCTAAGGTACACCTTGTTAGCTTGTTACATCACTAGTGACCCTAAGGTACACCTTGTTAGCTTGTTACATCATTGGTGACCCTAAGGTACACCTGGTTACATCACTAGTGACCCTAAGGTACACCTTGTTAGTTTGTTACATCACTGGTGACCCTAAGGTACACCTGGTTAGCTTGTGACATCACTGGTGACCCTAAGGTACACATAGTTACATCACTGGTGACCCTAAGGTACACCTTGTTAGCTGGTTACATCACTAGTATGCGGCCTCAGCGGCACACCTGGAGTTATATATGTATATGATGCATGTCATATATTCATTATTTCATTGACTCAACATTTGACTTATTACATAATTTCATTTAGTACATCATGTCATCATTTTTCATATTCTCATAATCATAGCTTGTCTCAATAGTCCATTCTTATGTCTCATGTCATTTGTGCATATTTCACATAGTCATGTCATAATTATTTCTCATAAGGTCCGCACAGGAATCCACAGGAGCATTCTTATTCATATTAAAACTTATTTATTTTTAAAATTAATTACATATTCATTCATTACTTCCAACAAGGAACAAAGTAGAGCAAACAGAAAATAAAACAGAACACATTAATACTTTGCATGTTTCTAGAAGCATCCAACAGGCAAGGGATTGGGGGTCAATCCGACAATCAGACTATCCAACAATTATTCACACACCCCCGAGCAAGGTTTCTCACTCCCCCCCTTACCTGGATAAGCAGGAGCTGAAACTAAAGCAGAACCTTGCTAATCTCCTTCTCTGGATTCCCTATTTCTTTCTCTCTCTTTCTTTCTCTTTCTCTCTCTCTCTCTCTCTTTCTCTCTCTAAGATTTTACCTTCTCAGTTATAATTTTTTTCACAACCCCTCCCTCCTATTTATAGGCATTCAGGGGTACCCGGAACGGCTCGTTCTAAATCCGGAACGGCCCGTTCTAGAGCCATTCGTTATATGCAAAATTTACAATTGGAACGACCCGTTCTAAAATCAGAACAGCCCGTTTTCAAAAATCAGAACGGACCGTTCTCAAATTAGAACGGCCCGTTCTGGGGTTCATTTTAACACACATTGACCGTAATTGGAACGGCCCGTTTCTAACTAAACTTTTTAGGCTTTTTTAGAATCTTAGAACGGCCCTTTTCACTTTGGGAACGGCCCGTTCTGGAATAACCCAAATGGGCCTCTTTATTAATTTGGAACGGCCCGTTCCACTTTTGGAACGACCCGTTCTACTACTTCAGAAATAGTTTACTTTCATCGTTTGGAATGGCCCATTCCACTTTTTGGAACAGCCCATTCTGGCCTAAAAAATAGAATTCTATATAAAAATTTTCATAAATAATTTAAATTATTACAAACCTTTACGATATTCTATAAAAACCTTTTAATTAACTAAAATAACTATAAAAAATAATCTTCATAAATATAAAAATAAATAATAATTAATATTGTATTAGTAGAAAATTTGGGGTGTTACAATAAGATTGTATAATTGATGATAGTTTAAAAAGAATTAATTTGTATTGTCTATACTAACAATATGCATCTATTTCTCGATAGTACATTTCATAAAAACTTCACAGTTAAACATTCTTGACTTGGAGTAATTTAGAGATGAGTAACCTTTTAAAAAAAATTCAAAAAGTATGCGAGTGAGGATAAAATATGCTAAAAAGTCTTGTATTGGTTTGTGGGATCAACCCAAAGAGGGGTCGTGAAGTGTCATCTTGTAAAATACTGGAGAGTGAAACTATTATGAGGTCAAATTTGATGAGTGTTACACCAGCCATTGATAATGTAAATCCTAGACTATTTTAATAATCACTTCATTCCATCTATAACAAGTATTGCGTAAAATAAAAATAAGTTAAATAAATTTTATTTTAAATTATCAATATTGTATTAATTATTTTTTTATTCATATTCCTATTATTATTTTTTAGAAAATGATTATTGTATTGTATCATTTATAATAAAAAAATAATTGTAATGTTAATTTTGCAAAATTATTATTCTTTTATTCAGTTTGCATAAATATTTTTCAAATACACCTTAAATCTTCAAAAAGCTTAAGAAAAAAAAAATATATATATATATATATATAAAAATTCACTTACTCCAAGAGTAAATTTTAGTAAACTTATTTCACTTAATAACTCATGTTCTATATTAAATTTCAATAATCAAATCATTAAATTAAAAGTTTTTAACATATAAATCAAGTTTACAAAATTTAAAAAGATTTGAAAGTGATATTATACATTATTTTATAAATCTAACTCAACATGTAAAATAATTTATAATTATTCATAAATTTGAATTAATAAACAAAATACTAAATAATTTTTAAAGTTTAAATAAATGTATAGACTTAATCTATACATTAAGAACTTTTAATTTAATAATTAAATCGTTAAAATTTAATATAAATATAATTATTAAATGAAATAAATCTATATATGAGTAAAATTTAAACGATATTACTGTAACTTTTACCAATGTGACACTGTTGAATAACTATCAATTAAATATAAATTTTATTAATCCAATCATTAAAAATAACTTCTTATGACATCATATGTATATTGTCAAAATTTTATTAATATTGATCAACAATTTGAATATAATAAAAAAAATTCATATTTTAATATATTTTAAAATATATATTATCTCTATTTTAATATAAGAATAAATTATCAAATTATTTTACATTAATATAAAATTATATATATATATATATATATATATAATTTAAGAAAAAAATTAATTTAATAATAAACTTTTTTAAAAAATATTTAATTAAAAATTATTAAATAACATAATAGTTAATAAAAGTTACATTCCTGCATTGCAATAATTTTCTGAAAGTTTTTTAATGATTATTTTCGTTCCTTTCTTTGTACTTCCCCGCACGTGGCGTTGTTTTGTATATACAGGACAATAAGCTTGAAATTAGATGCCTTGAACTTTGCAGACAATCGCTGGCAGGGGCTAGCCTACAATCCGCGACAAGTCTGCACTCTGCCCGTGGCACAGACGTATATAAATAAGTAACATGAACTAGATTGTACAACAACAAAGACAATGGAGACAGAAAGTCACCAAGGCCATATCATGATTCCTCCATGTTAATTGTTTGTATAAACTTCTCATGTTCCCTAAAGCATTAGGAACGACACTAGATCTTTGAAAAATCAAATGCTACTTATTTCCTTTAAGCAACACTTTCATAGTCTACTGCAACCAATTATAGGCCCTAAAACTAAACAATTTTTTTTCTCACTACTCTTAATTACTGAAAAGAATGACAAAATAAAAACTATAATGTGGATGTTTCAAAACTACCATTGACTCCCTAATTAACCTAAACCAGAGTTAGTCCTTGACACAGGCCTCGAAAATGAATGATTGGGATTAGGCTGAACATCACCGGGACCATTGAACATTGGATTTGAAGATGCTGATTGTGATTGTGATTGCGATTGTTGTATCATTGAAAGGGGCAACCTTTGCCCTAACCCAAACATTGAAGGCCGTGGGGCAAAGGACATGTGTGGATAAACTGGTTGGCTGTTACCATAACCTGAGATGCTAGGCTGTGAGGAAGAAGCAGAAACCATTTGTTGCCTACTGTTGCTATTATTGTTAGCCATGGAAGGACCAACACCCGCTACATTCATTGGAGTGGTTCCACCATTTCCAAGACGTGCTGATACAACATGCGACCGTTCAGAAGCATACCTCTGCCTCACCTTCTCAACTTGTTCGCATTCTTTCATCAACTGGGTTTCAATTTCTGCAAACTGCTTCAGCTTCAGTTCCAATCTTTTCAACTGTCAATCAAGGCGACCCACCAACACATTATACAGAGCAAAATACTAGCACTGTCTGCTTTTAAATTTGACTAAATTGTTTTCATTTACTTAAGTCAGCAAGAAAAATATTTAACTAGTGCATACACATGCATCATATGCACCCAGATCGAAAGGGCAGAAAGGGAGATGAAGAATTTTGTCAGTTTAGGTGAAGCAATTGAGTGGAGAAATAAAAAAGGAAGCAGCTGTACCTTATTATTAACAATATTAGCACATAGTCTCTGAATTTCTCGCTCTTCATGATCAGCAAACAACTTAGCTTTCATTGCTGCAGCAGAGAGGCCTACTTTTGCAGCATCTTTGACTTTCTCAGCAGATAACAGGGTCGACCCACCATCATTTTGAGCACATGAACCAAGTACTTTTGCCTTGTCCTCTGAATTCAAAAGAAGCATTTCTCAAAGGGAATTATACAGTGGGTATTACTAGACAACGGGGGTATAATTACACATCAGCAACTGAAAAATGCAACAACCATAACTACCGTTTTTCTGATCTGAGTTCGCAAACTCTCCATGATGGCCACCATCTCTACTATGCATGATTTCTGAATTTGTCCTTCACAGATGCAAATAAAACACTATTAAATATATGTACAATGGAATAAGGCTGGTTGTTGTTGCAGAAGGAAAAGAACTTTTGTTAGCAAAGAGAAAGTGAAGAGCACAATAGCAAACGACTAAATATCCTTGTACGAGTTAAAGTGACGGTCACACTCACCTATTAACATTTTCCGGTGCTTCTATATGTGTAGTGCTCCCAGAATTATTCCCTGACAAAGCAGCTAATGCTGCATGAGCACAAGTTGCAGCTACTCTTGGTCCAACAGCCGAGGCTAAAAAGGCAACCTTTAGAATGCATCCACCAAAACAAAACAGAATGTGTAAGAATCAACAAAAAAAAACTCCGGAATATAATAGACAGACTGATTTGTTAAGAAACTAGGACACATAATCATGAATTGCATGTTTAGGAGAGCTTCTACTGGAGGAAACAATATTTCTTTTTCCAAAACCTCTCAAAGCTGTCAACAAAATGAGATTTCACCAAAGTAAACTGAAACAAACATCAAAACTTGCTCCTTCAAAGAGGAGAAATGCAACTAGAAGAAACAAGTTAAGGACAAGATATTAGATGCAGCACTGATAGCCACATCCTTGTCTTCTTAAAAAGCATAGTTCAAGCAATCTATTAACAAATGACAAACTTAAGAATATCATTACCAGTCACCTACCAGTGCCATAACTGGATTTCCAGAATTTGCAAAAGGAAGCCTGCCATCAGAATCTCGGCTGTAATGTACAGGTCCTGTGAGAACATGGATATGAAATCAAAACCACATCACAAGTATAAATTTCAAAGGTTTTAGTATGACAGACCTGCAGAATACCCATTTGAGCAACAACGCAATCTTCCATTATCATCTTGATTCATCACATTGGATGACAAAGACAAGCTTGAAACATTCATATTTTCCAATTTCCCATCTTCCACAGGTAGACGGAGGAAATGAAGAATGCATTGTGCTTTTGACTTCGTACCAACATGATCAGCAATTTCATTCCAATTGTCATTGTAAACCTCCACTGCTTCAAGCAGCAGCAAAGTCTCCTGTTCAGTCCAACTATCCCCGTCTGGATCACCATAATCTGTAGTAGAATCCACCCTTATAAAATCTATACTAGAATGACCAGTGACGAATCTCCCATCATGAAAGCAATCAGCGCAGAGTAAAATGTCAACCTGTAACATGAGATGCCAACTACAAATAATGACAAATGTTTTCAAAAGCAATCTGCAGCTTAGTTTGTATAGAGGAAGGCACCATAATGGACCCATAAGTAGTAAAGTTTTGGTAATATTCATGATTCATCAGAGAAATGCTTCCTTGCCGAAGAATGTCAAACTTTTAAAATAATCAACTGGCATTGCATGAAGATTCCCAACTAAGCTGTATTGATCAAGCACTATCTGGCAATCATTTGCCAGCTGTCGAGAGTATGTTAAGGTTAAATGGAAGATTTTCAAGTCAGAATTTTCAAGGCATGAACACTAACTGCAGCAAACATGGAAGTTCAATCATCAGATATTTCTTTATTGATACCTTCAGATATCCTATTTCTCCTATATCACTTATCTTACGTCTTTGAACTCAGAATAACACTTGAGTTAAAAAAAAAAAAAAAAAACAATGCAATACTTACAAAATTTTAGTTCAATATACCAATCTAACAAAACCTAATTGAACACAGAAGCCTAGTAAAAAACCAATGAATCAGTTCAAGTTTAGTCTGAACTTTTCTATTTTTAAAATACAGTGTTCCCATCATATGAGAAAATCTTGTACGATGAATTGGTCATATTGAAGTAGTAGTTTCACATCAGCACATTTTCCTGTAAATTTTCTTTTACAAATTAAACACAACAACAGAAGAAAGCATAATAAACCATAACTACGAATCAATATGAAGCAACAAATAATCAGCACAGAAAATGTTCCACCAGGTGATATCCTTACTAGAGAAGTACATGTGGCTTCATACAACAAACCAAACCAAAATCACTTGCTTTATCTTTTACTTTCTTTCCTTTTTATTAATTAGACAGAATTCAGTTTGCATGGTCTAATCATTACCTAGCATTTGTAAATTTGATTTACTTTTCAATCAATTTTAAAAGCAAGGAAGCGAGTTGCTAATTACAAAAGTGGTACAGAGAGTGTAATGAATAATCTGTTAAATAACAGAGGATTGTCTCCAGCAATTATACGTAAAGATAATTCAATATTGTGTTCACACTCTGTACATATGCACTGTTGTGTTAATACTTGACCTAAGCCAGCATATTACCAAAATGACAAAAGTAATTGGCAGCCACAGGATTATTCTTAATAGAGCGATCAAGGAATTGGATTTAAAACAAAAAGGCAGTGTACCTCTTTTTGTGATTGGTAGTATGCAACAGGAAGAGAGCGAGAACAATAATGGCAATGGTTTTCTGATAGATGCTCTCTTATTCTCCCGTCCAAATCAGAAATATCAGTATTGTGCACTGTTCGAGATGAATAAATTTCGTCTGCTTTGAATTTACACTTGGGCTTGTCAAATTCAATCAAACTATCTATGGATCTTAAAGCCACTGATGGCACACATATTGCACCACTTTTCTCCTCCTTCAGGCAAGTCTCATTGTCAGGATACTTGTGACTTGGGCACCGAGCACAGTAATTGATAATTCCCCAGTGCTCAAGGAACCGGACAATTCGAGTTAAATCTTCATTTCCAACACCAACTGACAATCCCAGGCAAGAGACCGTAATCTTCTTCCCCGGGTCCTCCATGTATCTTGCAACAATGTAATTCCTACATTCCATGTACTTCTCTGGCGTATGATCTGTCGACTTTCCAGAGAAGAAATGTGGCACTGCTTGTCTCTCAAGTCGATGCACTGTGGCTGGTGAAAACCAATCTGCTCACATATATTTCAAATTATCATTTAATTCAACAAGATCAATCAACGAGATTCATTCTTGACATCTCAGGACTAATCCCCCACAACCAAAACATTCTTGGAGCTTAACAAACTACATTTTCTTCAAGAGGATTAAACAGAATGTATATATGATTTCTTAAATTCATCACAACAGAAAAAGTGCCATATGTTTGCATAGAGAACTAAATTTTGATACATGGTCATTGTATAGAATATAGATGTTTCCATTTTCCAATATCAACCAATTAAAAATCACCCTAGGTGACTTTTACCACATGTATTACATAAGTCACCAGTTAAATTCGCATAAAAAATAGGCTTAATTATCCTTTTAGTCCCTATAGTTTCATAAACTTTATCTTTTATTCCCTGTAATTAGAGCATGTTTGGATAAAAGCCTAGAAAAGATTTTAAGAACTTCTCTACTAAAAAAATTATAAAAAAAAAAACTACTTCTAATATAGAGGCTCTTAAAAGTCCTTCGGGATTGTAACCAAACATGCTATTTTGATCCCTACATACAGATTTTACTTCCTTTTAGTTCTTATAGTTTAATACACTTTAGCTTTTAGTCCCTATACTAACCTTAGACACTAAAAGCAAACAAATATATAAGAACTAAAATAAAAAGCTATTAATTATAAGTACTGAACTACAGTTAAAGTTGATGCATAGAACTAAACCGTAAGTGAACCTCATTGCATATTAATTGTTCACCTCCAATTTTCAATGAGTTACCACAACCTCCCTAAACTAGGGAGAAAAGTTAAAGAAATAAAATATAAATGAGTCACATTGCTATTTTATATCATCATGTACACCTAGCAGCCAAATAGAAACATTCCAAAAAAAAAAAAAAAAACAGAAAAAATTCAAATATACAAAAGATCTCATTGAATATTAATTGTTCACCTTCAATTTTCACATTCAAAAAAAAAAAAAACAGAAAAAGTTCAAATAAGAGAGCCAAAAACCTGAGTGCATAGGAACTACAAGAACCCTACTCCCGAACCGCTTAACGACGCCGGAGCCTCTCAAAACCGGCGGCGGAGCAGCAACGAAGGCCGAGCCATCGCCGCCAAGGCAGTCGGCGGTCACAGCCGACACCGCCTGAAGCTGCCCGTGCGACACATTCTCCAGAACCGGAACCTCGTGCTGCGACTGCCCCCTGCCGGACTCCAGCGCCGCAATCGCCGCCACCGCGGAGTGAGGTCGGATAACGGCGCGCTTGATCGCCGGCGGGAACTGCGAAATCTGGAGTCCGTCGCGCGACACCGCCTCGATCTCCACGCGCGCGTTAGGCCTGCGGAATTGGTCGTCGGAATCGCCTTCGTCGGGACGGTCGTCCTGGTCGGAATCGTCGCGGTCGGCATGGCGCTTGTGGGACTCCCTCCGGCGCTTCTTCCTCCATTTGGTTCGGTTCTCTGTCAAAAGCAAAAGTAAAAAAAAAAAAAAAAAGTAGTTATGAAGTGAAAAGTGGTTATGAGAGTGGAGAAAGTAAAAAAAGGAGTGAGGATTTAGGTTATTGTTGTAACCTGAGGCTGAGGGGAAGGAAGGGGAAGGTGGCATGAGAAGTTTAAGAGGGAAATTTGAGTGTGGGGTCTTTGATTGGCGCAAAGGATGGTGCGAGATTTGGTTTTGAGGATTGTTTGCTTTGTGTCAGATTTGTATTGTGTGGGAGTGAACCGACCAAAGCAAAGTGGTTGGGGACATGTAATATGATAAGGAGGAAAAACTTTTTCTTAATTATGTTGTCTACTTGTCTTCCCGAATAATTTACTTTGTCAGTGTTCTATTTACCGGAAGAGTAATCTTACAGTTATGATTAAAATTTTACAGCTACTTTTATATTTTTTATTATGAAAAAATATTATTAATGATAAAAAATATTTAAAAAATTATATAAATTATTATAGTTTTATTATAGAAATAGTATTATATTTATAGCATAATATTTAAGGTAATTTGAGAGGAGTGCTATACACGCGACCTATCAGTATTCCATGTCTTCAGCTGGCTAGCTACTGTGTAGTGTACTAGTGTTTGCGCCTTTAATTTGCCGCGTTGGCTCTTTTATTTGTGCTTGGAATAAAAGATAATTTAAAACATAGAAAGGAAAATAAATAAACTATAAATAAGAAAATAATATTAAAGAAATTCTTATTTATAATTTTAGTTAATATTTATAAAAATTTACACAAGAATGAAAAAATAAATTAATAATATATTATATTTTTCTCTTTTACATCTAATATTATGATATCTTTTTAAATTATTGGTTGATTTTTATTGACTAATAAAGAAATTAATTATTAATTAATTGTTCATTATTATTTTATTTTTTAATATCTTTTTAATAATCTGATTGTTAACTTTTTTTCATGTTATAAATAATATTTTTAATAAAAAATATTGGCTGGTATGAGATCAAACACCACCTTTGTTGGAGTAACAACAAGCTTTACTTATTTCTCAGTTATTTTTATGAATTAAATTGTAAGTTAAATTTTTATTAAAAAATTAAATATTTTTTAAATTTCTTTATTTGTCGACCTATCTTATTTTAGTCTTCGTAATTTCTTTTTATCATTTTTAAATCTTTAATTTATTTTACCATCTTTTTTAATATTTATTATTAACCCTAGTTAATATCTTACACATATAATTCAATTGGACATTGTATATACTCACGTACAAAAGAAAGATTTTCATTTTAATGAAAGGGTAAACTTATAAAAAAAATGTAATAAACTTAAAAAAAAAATCACTAAAACCAAACAGAACAGATCAAGTAGACTAAATCATTTTTTTTCTTCTATTTCATTGAATTGAATTGACATTATAAGAGTTTGAGTAATTGTAATTTGAATTACAATAGATTGTTATGACACTTTGAAATAATTGTTTTGACCCTTTAGTCCATAAGATAGGATAATTTTGCTAACTTTATTTTATTTTATATTTTATTTAAAATTTTTAATATATATATATATATAGATATTTGGACAAATAAATTTGGTAGATTTCAAACTTAAAAATTAGTAGTTTAACGTAATTTGGTTAGTCCACTTAACTTGATCAAATTAGCACAGTATTTTTTTATCACTTTCTTTGAAGTTTGGATTGTTAGATAATTGAACTAATCCATTAATATAGACCATTCTAGATACATTTAATTTTTTTAAAACAATTCAAATTTTTTTATAAATAGAGTACAATTCAATTCATCATCAGTCCAATTTAATTTTTTTTTTCTCACCCTAAAAAAGTATAACCTGATAAAATATCTAAATTGATAGAATATTAGCCTTTTTCAATTAATCTTCTATGTTCTTCTATGATAACAAGTCTAAAAAAAGATGAGACCTTATATTTTAATATTTTATATTATATTTAATTTGACTTATATAAAAGTTAAAAACTGAATTTCTTTTTTATAATATTGGTGTTATATAGGTATCAAAGCAACGCAAGTATCAAATGTGGATTTAACTATCCAAATAATAAATAATAATTTTTTAATTGAATATAAGTAGAATTGTCAAACAAGTTTCAGGGAGTGTTGATGTTGGAAATGTGTCTAACATGACAACATTTTCAGGGAGTGTTTGTGCTTAATGGTACACAACACACATAGATACACACCCCTTAACTAGTAGCTCCAATCTTTTGGGGTTGTATATCTACATTATCATGCACAATAACCATGAAGCAAAACAACTCATGCTACTTTATTTATTCTATGATGTAGAATAAAAGTGAGGTTCAAGCTATATATACTGCGTTCTTGACATAGGAAAAGATATCTTTCACACCATAGTGTAAACAGCTGTGTCCAGAGTTATTCCTAGTGGGTTTCCCTTTTCTTCTTCGAGTAGAACTAGAAGGTTACCAGCAGGTTTCAAGAAAGATCGAGGTATGTGATACCTGAATAAAACCACTCAATTGTAAGTAAACTCTTGCTTCACATAATGCATGAGACTAATAATAATATTAAGTGATAAGGCAGAACATATATAACAAATTAAAAAAAATTATAACTACAATAAAATCAGAAACAATTTATATTCCTTATAACAAAATTATTAATGAAAAAGACATACCTTGAACAAGATAGGTAGTGTTATTTAAAATTTTAAAAAGAAAAATCGTAAATATGCATTAATCAAGAAAGACCCATAAAGACTATATCATGGGTCAACTGTCTAAAAAGATAGATCGTTTATTTTTAATGTCACATTAAGATATTTGTCTGAAAAATAAATATATTTATAAAGAAGGGGTTATATTATGTCTTATTATTTTTATTGTTTGTTTACACATATTCTACAAGATAATATTTATATTGAACTTTGACTCTCATAATTTTATTTTTAGACATTATTTAAAATACTTTTTATTAATATAGTATTATTTTATAAACTCTTATTTCCCAACATTTATAACTTGCCTCATGAAATAAATTTTAGATGAGAAAAATGAGAAATGATATAGAACTTCTAGGTAAACAGTCTATATATATGAGTGTAATATATTATTATTTGGGTAAATATTTTTATATTATTAATTAATTAAAAATTAATTTAATATAAATATTTAAAAAATAATTATTGTAAAAATATATAATATTATCATGCATGTCAATCAATAGTTGGATCAGAATATTAAAAAAAGCACATTTACACTGACACTATATTTAAATTAAACTCATATTAAATTACATACTTATACTTTTAGAGTGAACCAATTTCGTTGCTAAATAATGATAATAGAATTTTTTTCATAATAATTATTTTTGGATCCTTGAGTCTAAATCATAGTTATTATTTTGCCTTTGTAAGTGTATATTGTTGTATTTTGGGGCAAATTATAATAGACAAAAAAGAAAATGAATTGTGTCTGAGAAACATACCATTGTTGTGTAGGAGTTCCCTCATGCGTGTGAAAAGATACCCAATAGCGACCAATGTTATGTTCATTAACCCAAATTTGACCCTTTCCCATTGAACCAAGGTTGAGTGCTACAGGATCGTTACCAGCTGGTGCATCAAATGTGGTCTGTGAATAAAACAGGGAAAAGATTAGAAATGTTATAAAATAACAAGGTTTTATTCAAATATATGATGAAAGATTTTTTATGAGTGATTAACATAATTATCCCCTCTCCAAATCATAAATTTTTTAATGACAACCTTAAGTAGTTTGTAATTTAACACAAACTTAACAAGTTGGATTTTGGAATAAAGTTTAAGGATGAAAAATTGAATACATTGACACAAAAATAGTTTGATGTGTCATTTAAATGAGGTAAAATTTAGAGGTCACAAAATTAAAACTTAAGATATCTATTTGCTTCGAAGGCATTGTAGTGGTGGCAAATTCTCTTTTCAATGTTTTGTTTTGCTTTTTTAATAAAAATAAACAGCTTTTTTTTAGTGTCTTTATCTAAACTGCTTATTTTAAAATAATAAGTTTTTTTTTTTACTTTTTTTAAAGAAGTAAATTCTATTTTTATTGAAAAAACAATATTTTAAGAAACTTTTTTTTTTTTATGTTTAAACAAACTTTTCCAAATTTGGATCGCACGAAATAATATCTATGCATGATAGAGAAATAATAAGTAAATAAAATTATTTACCAACAATTATATATATACCTGATACCATGTGAGTGGTTGAGCAAAGTTTCCAAGATTTCCCCAGTAAACATTACGTAATCCAGTGCTTGTATATATTTTCAATTTTTCTCCCAACAACCCAACCTTCATTAGAAAAACAACATTAGTATGTACTGAAAAAGGAAAATTTAATAAATTTTTTTTTTTGACAAACCATCATGAATTGTATATAAAGATGGTTTATAATTAAAAAAATACATAATTGAGAGATCTCATTTAACTACATATTCTATCATGTCAGTATGTCGTAGCTTAAAGTATTCACCTGATATCCCCATGATTGACTTGTGAGATCTCTGCCATCAACTTTCACATCATACAAACCAGCTGTTTTATGTTCTAGGTGTGCTCCCGAATCCTTCACAAACAAAAATATACAAAATTCATGTAATTATATGCCTTCTTGAGGCTATTTATATTTTCTATTATTTGTCTTTTTAAAATAATTTTGATGCAAGGGCAAGGGTGTATCTAGCATATATATATATTTTTTTAAATAACATCGGGATGCTTCATTATTAGTGTCTTTGGTACTTCCTGTGATCATGAATGTTTGAGAGAAGACATAAATGAAATAGTTACATGTAATTTCCTTTTTAGAATTGGCAAAGACTTGTTCAGAGTTTAATGTATAATGTTCATCACTTTTATGTAAATTAAACACTCATTTTATGCATAATTAAGACATTGTCATATTGGTTCTTAAAATTAAAAAATTGTCAAATAAATTTTTAGAATGTTAAATAAATCCTTATGATTCCATATATATATATATATATATATAATTTGGGTGTTTCCTTCTTTTATGTGCTTTATTTATCTTATTGATGATGAATGAATTAAGAAGTATAAACAACATAGACAAATACCGGTAATCCAACTGTTGCACTGAGTAAGGAAATATTGTTCTCCCCCATTCCCAAATTGATCTTGATCTCCAAGTTGCAATGTGTATTTTTGATACTACCATGTGTAGAACCTGGAGTTGATAGCAGGGACAAAGCATACATTTAGTTTCTCACTTTATGATACATATGAAAGATAGAGTAGTTTCTTTATGTTCTTCCTTTTTTCCTTATATAAATATCCATTCTCAAACGTTAAGGAATGTAGGCAATTATGTGATTTCTCACAATAAATATGTATATTACATGAGTCATATTTTTTATATATGATTTCCATGCATGTTTTCTAGCCAAAGAAATGGGGGCTAGGGGTGAGTCGATAAGATTAGATGCTTACCTACTAATACACCATTGACAAATGCATACAAAACATGTCCTCTGCTAAATGCACTGAGAACTGATTGAGTATTGGGAGATTGAGCATGTATGCTGCATAAGCCAGATTTGACAATCAACATCTTGAACAGAATAAAACAATTTTGCTACATATAACGTTAAGCATGGTAGGTTTAACTACTTTTGTTGTTATTTTACCTAGAAGTGTACCACAGATAATCAGAAGTATCTTTTGTTATGCTGAAATGATCCAATACTTTATTTTCTCTTAATGAAGTATCAACATAGTTAGGGATGGCATCTATGTGCACTTTCCACTTTTCAGCTGAATTGAACTGTAACTGGGATTTCATTGCTCTCATTAGATGTTGTGTGTTTACCTACAAGAGCAGCATAAAAGTAAGTGCCTGTTGCCAAACATCATTATGTTATTTTAAGTCACCATACTCGGGAAGAATATTGGTAGAAGGATGATCACAAGAATAGCTTATTTGTGTCAATAGTGTTGCCTTAAAATTAATGACATAATAGATGTTGAGCATTTCATCTCACCTTTGCTGTGTTGAAGGCAACATTCTTGCAGTCTGGTAGGATACTGATTGATTGTCTGGGTAACTGATATGTAACATTTTGAAATTGGATTGTGGCATCTATATGAGCACTATTTCCCAAGAAGGCAACACAAGATGTTGAGTTCTTTTTGAAAACATAAGCCTGAAGTTGAAGGACAACAAATATTTTAGTTTTTTTTTATTTTTATTTCAAGATTAAGCATTTTAGAGTATTTTAAAAATTCCAAGATTTTCCGAGTTGCATTTTACTAGGATAAAAACTTCTCTTCTTTTTTTCTTTATATTTTAGTCTAGTCCATTAAGTTGAGAAAGTTTTACTTTGATTCCTAAAAATGTTTTGTTAGACCAAGGTAGTCATTCCATCAATTTACAATAATAACATGGTCAATTTGGTAATACATACAAAATGTGAGAGATGTCATATCAGGTGATTATTTGTCATGTTAGTCAAAATTAACACTATTAATGTAAAATAAAAAATAAAAAAAATAAAAATAAAAAAAACAGGTAGAAAAAAAAATTTTGTCTAACATTTTTTAAACTTAAGAGATCAAAGTCGAACCAAAAAATAAGATAACATCAAAAACGTTTTTAGCCTTTTTATCAATGGTTGTTTACTTTAAGACAATTCTCTACACATCCAAGGACCATTTCCCTTCACTTAAGTACATTAGTTAAAGAAAATATAGGCAATTTTTTTCGGGGGAAATCAAATTTCTTACTTCTTGTTGTGCACCCAAGTTCAACGTAGTTTGTGTTCCATACAGTAAAGGCTCAGAGCAATTCTTAATTACAGTATGTAACTCCTTTAGATGCCCCCATTTTGGTTGCTTAACCAAACCTGATTACATTGACATAACTAATAAACAACACTGTAAATCAATATTTGAAACAATGTAGATTGAGAAAGGAAAGAGAGATACCATATTCATCTAATGGTGCATCATCATAATAAGCTGTTGTTACAAAAGCAGAAGCTGTTCTGTCAAAATTTGTCCCCCCATGGTACTACATCAAATCAGTGAACATGAAAATTATCAACAGAAAAAACTAGTGATTATTTAGTTTACAATTTACATGCTTAAGAAAAAGAAAACAATAAAAAACTGCTACAACTATAGCACAAGGATGAAAACATTACCATGTAGTAGTTGACAAAGCTTCCATTCTTTGCAATGAACAAGGCAACATTATATGCAATGTCTTCAGCCGATCTTAATCGTGTTTTTTCACCAAAGGTTGGATATCTGTGAAAGAAAATTGAAGTAAAATGAAGATAAATTAATTGTGTCAAATAAGAAGTTATTATGGATTGTATTTTTCATATAACTTTTTGTCTAAAAGTTATAATACAAATTTCCACAATAATATACCTCGATGTCCAATTCTCTGTCCATAGTGAAGGCTTGTTAGGTGAGTTAGGCCCTTTAAATGTTTCCCCGCATCTCAGACCATTGCATGTGTTGATCTGTATATTATATGACATAATAGACAGATATTATAACATTAGAATATTAATCGTGTGTTATGAATCAATGGTCGTGTTCGATAAGAATGAAAATTAGCTATATACAAAGACATTTCTTGCATCTATATTCATTTTTTGTTCCAATTTGCTTATCTTTTAGCATACTCTTATTACCTAAAATTTATCTAGCTTCATTGTGCTTTTCATTTTGACTTTGAAGAATGTTTTCATTCAACATTTTTTTCCCACAGTAACTCATGTCCCTATACAACTATACTAGGCCATTTGATCTAAATGATAATTGGCAAAGGACCAAATTTGAGTTTTCCCAACACCAATGACCAAATTGACCAATTGTGTCAATTTCAACAATCAAATTGATGTTTTACTCAAACTCTTAACATTGTTATATGGAACAAGAATGATATATTCATTGAAAAGAAAATAACACATAGTAAAGACTAACCACAAGATCAGGAGCATCATCTTGCCTGCACATTACCCAAGGCACTCCAGTTTGGAGTCCCACGGCCATTTTTGCAGCCCAGCGAATATATTTAACTCCATTCTTGTGAAACGCCCCTTCAACCAAACTGTACTCATTTTCAATCTGCATGCATCATAAACCATGAATAAGTAGATCATGAAGAAAAAAAGACTATACACTATCGGTGAACAACAATTTTAGGGTTTTATTTTTTTTTAATCGATGTACAACACTTTTACAGTATTATTAAATTACAAGTCATCATTTTTTTTTTATGAGCCAATAAATATTTATATTATTATATACCGGTATAAGGGGTACCAAAACCCATATACATAAGATAGGTAGAAGATTATAGAAATTTATCCACCCACATAAAACCAAATTAACTTTTCAATTGAACCATTTCCTTCTCTCCTTAGCATAACTCCCCTCCCTAGTCGACCCGCCAATTTTGATTATGACTGCTATAATATCCCCCGACTCTTTCCATACTAAATCCTAAATTTAGGATATAATATTTTGTAGCCCTTTTTACCCTCTCACACATGATGATGATAGGCAAGCTCCTGGATTAACCACCCATTAATTAAATGAGTTTAGGGTTTAGGGTTTAGTTTGACTTTTACACCTTAAAAAAGTCAAAACAGTAATTTCTCATTGATTGAAAGTGTATAAAAGTTATACTAAGCCATATATAATCAGAAAAAGAGTTGTGCAACATTGGTGTAAAATAATTTTACATTTTTATCTAATCACAAATCATGTATGATAACTTAAAAAGTCATGCCTAAAATAATTTTTGATTGGCTAATAATGTAAAACTTTTACATAAATAGTGTGTGATTGTTGAACCTTATATAATTGGTAAGTGTTTAAAGTAGTATTCAAGTTTATACCTGTGATAGTATGATGGGTCCTCCTTGTGATGCAAAAAGATTAGCTGATTTCATCATGTTGACTATTTTTGCAGTGAAATTTTGCATGTAAAACTGTCATTAAATACATGAAGAAGAGTTGTTAGGATTTTCGAATGATGTATTAAATACTAACACAAGTTTTTCGGTGTGCGATTATTCCGATTAAGCCATAAATAAAGAGTGCACTCTATCTTAAATAAATGTGACCTCAATACTTCACAATTCTTAGAAATTATGAGATGAGTTATGTTCTATTGTGAAGAAGCAAAGAGTTGGTACCTTGAATGGCTCGTTATCTGTTCTAAAAGTAATACCGGGAATATCATGCAACCAAAATGGTAGACCCCTGGAACAACAAAAGTAAAACCATATATTAAACTCTTCCAATATCTTTTGATGGATACATGAAGAACAAATTGTTTAAATCATTATCATATTATTTATAATTTAATATACTTTTAATCCGTTGAAATGACTTTTTTTATTCATGGGAAAGAAAAGACCAAATGAAAACCGAAAACAACTATATATCTAATTAACTCTATAGTGCCCATTGCATTACTTAAACTCTATTCATTAAATCTTTAAAATTTTGAAAATATGTATTATCGTTATTTAGTAATAACGTTACATGCATTTAAGTATGTCACATTATATATCATCTCACTACAAAGACTAAGAAAATATTTAATTTTATTATTTATGATTATCAAATTAAATTCCCCAACATTAAACTAGGATGTATTTTACCATTGAGTTGTGTCCCTGTGCTGGAAAATTACACCAACAAGTGATTAATAGCCATAGAGGGCTTACCCGTAAGTCCATTCACTTTCAATGAATGGTCCAATTCTGAGGATCACATATAAACCCTGTGATTGGATTTCTTGAATGAATCTCACTATGTTACGCTTTCCATTAAATTTATACTGCAAAGTAAGCCAAAAATCACAACTCCATTCTATTATTTATACATATTTACAATGAGACAAACATAAAATTACCAAAATATTATATATATATATATATATATATATATATATTTATTTATTTATTGAAAAAGGGTTTTGAGTTTACCAGGCCTCTGTGTGGTTCGTGAAGGTTCCAAAACACATAAGTATCTATGACGTCTAATCCTCCTTCCTTGGCTTTGGCAATTAAATCAGACCACATCTATTAAAAGTAAAACTTATAGTATATTAATTAAGGGATCAAATCTTCTTCCCTGATAATTTTTTTTACTGTCTCGTATAAAATTAACATAAATCCTATAAAATGTATGGATTAAAATATTATGTAGATTCAAGTTTAGAACTAAATACAATGTATGACAAAATAAGAAAATTGGTGGGATTTGATTGGATGACTAAATTTCTTCTAAAAAATTATACAAACAACAATCCACCTTTTTCTACCCTGTATTATAATTTTTTATGAGTCCCCATTCTTTAAAGCATGATAACCTCTGTACTTACCCGTGCAATCAAGTGTTTTTCTTATCTTGTGATATGTGTTGTATGGACATTTATATAAAATCATTTTTTTTTATAAATTATATATAATTAATCTCAAGAAAGTTTTATTTTTATTAATTATTTTAATTAATATTATGTATAATTACATGTAATAATAATTCCCGAACAAAATAATATTTACCAATTAAACTTTTTTATTTATATTTTTTTACATTATAAATTTCAATTACCCTTCTAGGGCATATAATATGATGATAAAAATAAGGTACCTTAGGAGTGCTACGAGGATAGTGAATTGAACCAGAGAAGAGGATTTTATGTTGACCATCAATGATCAATGATCTTCTGTCATAGGTGACACTGCCACCATGGACAATACCAAAAGCTACCATTAGAAGTAGTGCAAGGGAACACCAAAACCCCATCAACACCTTCATCACTACGTACACCATTAAATCTTCTAACTTAATTGAAAGCTTTAGGTAATGCTTCTTTCTCTAAGAGACACTCTTTTTCATTGCTTATGTTTGGTGTAATCACGTCTATATATGTAGTTTTGGTTTCACTCGAGTTGGACATTGCTATATACATATATGGAACATTCCTTTCGAATGAAAAGAAATCAACAAGTATCTTATTTACTATATAAAAATTAATATGAAAGACATAAAATGAAGATAAAGTCATTATCATTATAAATGCATTCGTGCTATTATAAATATAGATGTGAATTCAAGTGTGAATAACATCATTAACATGTCAATTTTGTAATATTTCGTAACATAATAATCTTTTACCTAATTTTGTGATGAATGAAACAATAAATGAAATAACAATCATATAAATTATATTATTATACTCTATATATGGAACATAGCATCGATATGATGCTCATATATTCGATTTTCATTTGAATTAAAATAATGCTTAAAGAAATCACATCCCGCCAATATAAATTAATTCTTAATTATTAGTTTTTGTGTATTATATCAATAAAAATAAATATTTACTACAATAAATGTTATATATAGTGATATATATATATATATATAAAGTGTCATTATAGTTATAATATATGTAGATAATATATCTATTTGACATATATATAATTACACACAATTTTAGTGTTAATTTTGAATAAGATTTAATAACATATTTTATGTGTCACTATAGTTTATACATATATTTTTTAACAATATACCAATATATATTGTATTTCTGTAGATAAAAGTAATTTTTAGTGACATATATAGTGTCACTATAAGATATATGTTACTATATTTTTTGCAGTGGTTCGACAAAAAATACTTCTTAATAATAAAAAATATATAAATCATATGAAATAATGAATCGACATTAATCATAATATATTTTACAATAATCAATATTTATGTTATACAAATTATTATCATTTTTATTTTCTAATTATAAGATATAATTCTTGAAAATTAGTTAAAAAATTATTTTGAACTATAAAAAATCCATATAAATTATTTAAGTATAAATAAATTATAAATTATAAAAAAAATCAACATAAAAGCTAATTATATCAACGTAATTTTATAAAAAAAAAATAGTTATTAATAAATACGTAAACCTAATTGGATATTATTAATAAAATCAACATAAAGCTAATTAAATTATTCAAAATATACGTTTTTATCTATAAATAATTGCACGATTAAATACGTAAACCTAATTAGGCTATTACTGATAAAATCAACATTAAGCTAATTAAATTATTCCGAATATACGTTTTTATCTATAAATAATTAGACAATTAAATACGTAAACTAAATTTGGCTAGCTATTATTAATAAAATCAACATAGAGCTAATTAAATTATTCAGAATATACGTTTTATCTATAAATAATTAGACTATTAAATACGTAAACATAATTAGGCTATTATTAATACAAGTTTTCTTTAGATATAATTAGGCTATTTTTTCCAATTACATTCATTTGATTTAGAGTATTATTTTCATATACATTTTCAATCGCAAGACTATTCAAAAATATTCCATTTATTTATTGAAAGCTCCTTAAAGATTTTTATTTCAATTTATAAAAAAAACGAATATAAAGATTAAAGTATCTATGTTTTATATGGCTATGTTAAATTAAAATTTTCACCAAGTAATTATAATTTGAATAATTAAAATTTATTAATTTAAAACTTTTCTAAAGTTTATTGTCCTATAGTTTATATGAGTTTGAAATGTATCGACGAATATTTAAATATAAAAAAACAATATATTCATTATGTTTAAATCTATTGAATGACGAGTATTCTATAAAACCTCTTAATTAAATTTTTTGAGGGGAACCTCTTAATTAAATTTTATTGAGTATAAAAAACATACATTTTAATAGTATTTCTTTCATATAAAAAAATAATTAAATTGATTGCACTAAAAAAAATCATAATTTCACACAGTTGTTCGATAATTACATTAATTATATAGTAAAAATAACTATAATAATTATTATATATTTTTAAGTTTAAATTGTACTTTTGATCTCCTATAATATTAAATTTGTAGTTTTGTCCCTTAGTTTTTAAATCTATAATTTTAGTTTCTCAATTTTATAAAATCTACAATTTTAGTTTACTCGCTGCATATTCATATATTATAATCGTTAAAAATATAATGTTTTCCATGACTTAATATTAGATAAATGATAGAATAATTAATATTTAATAATATTTAGACTAAATTATGTTTTTATTTCTCATTTTAATCTTATTTTATTATTTTATGAGATTAAATAAAAAATAAAAATTAAACTTAACCTAAATATTATGAAATATTAATTGTTATATCATTTATTTAATCTCATATTGTAACTAACATTACAGTTTTAACTATCAATAGATAAACATCCAATGAGAGGATAAAATTTGTAAATTTTATATAATTGGGAGACTAAAATTACATAAATAAAAATAAAGAGACCAAAATTATGAATTTGATATTATAAATAGACCAAAGTATAATTTAACTATATTTTTATTTATTCAATTCATTATAATCATTATATAGGTTTGGAGACAAAAATAAATAAATAAAAATCTTCTCCTAAGATCATCACTTAAAATATTTAGTATAAACTTGAAGACTTTTTCAACGGGAACTCGCATAAATTTGGTTTTGAATAAGGGAGTTGCTATGGTACTCTCAAAAATAGAGGGGTTTCAATACATTTTTTTATATAAATTCATAAAATATTTTAAAAAAAACTAATTTAATTATAAAATGAATAATCTAAATTATACTTATAAAATAAAAAGTAAGATAAAATTATAGAAATTAAAATTATAAGATTTTAATAATATTATAAAATATTAAAAAAGAAAAAAATTAATAAATAGTAAAAATAAAAAATTATTAAAATTACAATATAAAAATTCTAAAATTTAAGACAAAAAGACAAAAAAAAATATACTTAAAAAATTATTAAAATTAAAATATAGAAATTCAAAATATTTAAGTGAAAAAATAAAAATATACTTAAAAAATTATTAAAATTAAATTATTACAAATAAACTGGAATATATAAAATTAAAATAAAATAACTAAATAATTTAAAAATTAAAAGAATAAAATATTATAAATATTATTTAAATAAATTATTAAAAATATAAAATATAAAAAAACTGTACCGGTACCTCTCAAATAAGATGGGTACCGTAGAATTTCTCTTTGAATAATATGTTCAAAATTAACCATTTTTAACATGAAATGGATCGATTCATTTTCATTTTTTTTCATTTTTTTATTTCTAATTCTTTTAAAAATCAATAAAATAAAATTGATGCATATTTTAGGATGAGTTACATTTATATTTTAAAATTTTAATAATAGAAAAAATAGAGGAAAAAACATTGGAGAGGAATCTAAGCCCTCAACATTATGGGGGACTTCATATAAAGCATTGAGAAGATTGACGTTTGGCTACACATCAAGGAGGATAAATCGTCCAAAGCAAGGCAATATACCATGAATCAGTCTTTTTAAATTATTTAATGTAAAATTTTAAAGGTTAAAAATAGTAAAATTTTGATCATGCCTCTTTTTAAAGCTTTTTAAAACATTTAATTGATTTATTTTATGTAAAACAATGCTAAATAAATCAGGCTTGAGGGGAAATTTATGAAATAAGCCTTAAGAATCAAGGGCATCAATTTTTTGAGAGGAAAAAAAAAAAGTTACGCATGAATTAACATGTAAGTAAATGTACAATTATAATTTAATGATATGAAGATTATTTAAGTTAAATAATATGATGATTTAACATATTGCTTCAGTGGCTATTGTGGTTTAAACATCCCTACCAACCCAAGTCGAGTCCTAGCTTGCCAAGAGTTCCACGCATTCTTATTTTGGAGTTTTAAATTCAACTTCCTAATTTTTACCTTAATTAAAAAAGTTAAATTAAGATGCTAGTTACTTCAAAAAATAAAAAATTGATACTTATCCTAAAATCAAAGTTTAACTGTAACCTCAATGTACTCAAAATTTAAATGAAAAATAATGTTGTTTATATTTTAGTTTAAAAGAGATAATTGAAACTTCATAATGTTTCAATTTCCTTTTACTCAGAAAATTCTCCCTCAAATTTTTAATTCAATAGAAAAAGTGAGGGTATTATTCTCTAATTTTGTCCTACAATTTTCATGTAGCATCTTTCATGACTTTTTTTTTTTTTTTTTTTGCAAGTTATTAATGATGGTTTGAAATTGTCTAAACATATGTTTAATGATTTTATGGTCTTTCATCTTAAATAACTTTTATTATCTTACCAACATGTTTATTTTGGAATCTTACATGTGAGGTTCCCTCATATGAAATGGCTAAAGTGTCTCACATTTCCTAAACCCTAAATTCCAAGCAAATCTTGGAAGTTCATTACCTTTTTTTTATCGATGAACATGTATGATTGTCATTCTCAACTATGTCCCACATATCTATATAACATACATTAAGGAATGCAATCATTATACTCTTCTAATAATTGTAGTTTTGACCTTTGAAAAAAAAGGGGTCTAATTGCTGATTTTTGATTATCCTTCATTTTGATATAATTTTAAATTAAAAATTTTTATTAAAACCTTGAGTGGAAAAATCTTATCATATTTGATCACGCATTATGTAAGAATCACATGGTGTTTAAGGTTTATCTCTTGTAGTGTGTTTTACAAAGACAACATGTGTTTGGGTTGGAAGCCTACATGAAGTTCTTTGTTGATCACCAAACACAAAAAGGATGATGTTTGTGCTCAATCTAAGCTAACAACCCAAAATGGGGTGTCATTACTAGCCAATTGATGATAAGTGTTAGAATTTTGTGTGATGTCGTGATGGTACAAAACCTAGCAACTTTCTCTAATCACAAAAGTGCGGTCAACATGTTCTTTTATATATTGTTGCAACTTTATCTTAATACCTTATTTAGTTTGTATGTTATAAATCCAAAACCTATCAATTTAATTAAACTTTTGTCAATTAATCAACAATTAAATTTAATTTAATTACTTGCTTCAAATA